CCTCCAGATTATTTTATACTGTCTATCTTACCTAGATAGACCTCCAGAAATAATAATATGCACAAAAACAAGAGCAAAACAAAGCAACAAAACAACAACAGCAACAAAAAGTCGATGACAAAAAAAAGCCTGTAAGTAGTTCAAGGTCTGTTTTTTGACCTTTAGGAGTGTTTTCTGGTCGAGTCTGATGGGGTGCCATGCCCTGGTCCCAAAGTCTATTTTCGGTATTCCCTGGGGACTCTGTTGCTCTGTTCCCCTTGTTGTTCTGTTGCATGCCCTTAGTGTTTTGCCTTGGTATGGTGGGGCCAGATTGGGCACAATTCCCATACTGTGTCTCCAGTGTTGTCCCCTGTAGATCAGTGAGGGATGCCGTGTCTCATAGTGGGGCTGGCCATATGGTCCTCTCTGCATTGGCTGCTCTGAGCAGGGATACAGTCCTCAAGGCTTGGTGGGCTAGGACATGCTCCACTCTCTCTTCCTCCCCCTTCATTTGCTCCCATGTGCTCTGATCAGACATGTCCCTCTCCCTGAGTAAAGCTCTTTCTTATACATATGTGCGTGTCTCTAGATTAGTTTCTCTAGTCAACCCAGTCTAACACAGATGGTGAGACTTTGTCTCAAGTGTCTTGCACGTGTTATATGGAGAGACTGTTATGGATTCAAATAGATGACAGCCACTATAATGTCTTGATAATTTAGAACAGTCTTTATTCGGTTATAAACAGACTGCTAGAGTCTAAAATCAATTCTTCAATCGCAGTCCCGAGTCGACATTTAAGTACATCTTTTAAGGCAACAAATTCATTTATCCTTTGTCTAAGACTTAAGCAAGCATGGACAGAAGCAGAAAACAAAATTAATGTTTCCATTCTTTCGGATTAGGGAACGCTGCCGAGTACAACATGGATTATAACATTGTGGTAACTTCTAGAAGAGCAAGCATGCATTACAAGGTACATTCCTTATCAAAAGATACCAAAATTGACTATAACATCCTGGTTACCATGACAAGACTAACTACACCATTCAGGTTACAACATCAAAAGGAACAATAGTAAAACAAACAATATATTGAAGAATAGTCTAAACCAGGGGTGCTCACACTTTTTCAGCATGCAAGCTACTTATAAAATGATCAAGTCAAAATGATCTACCAACTGTAAAAATGCAAAACGTGTATATATATATTTATTTATTACAGTTATTCATAAATGCATTGAGAATTCTTTATATGTACAATGTATGTTTATGTTCTTTGCATAACTGCATGAGCCTATATTGCACAACACAACACACTTAACTATGTACATTTTTTTTGTCATTACCTGTGTTTACTCTGATGACTTGCACTGAATGGAATAAGCCAGGGATGCATAGTCCAGACAGTAGCTGCTGACAGGCAGCCTCAAGCACACTTCCAAATGATCATCAGTCATGGTGGACTGGTACTTGGACTTAATGACCTTTATGTGGGAAAAGGCTGACTCACATAAATAAGTAGAGTGGAACAATGCAGTCAAGGAGGTAGCTTATTTTCCTATGTTTGGGTACTTTCCCTGAGAGTAAGTTCCAGAACTGTTCACGTACTCTGGTCTTCAGCTGAATGTTGGCTTGTAGTGTCAAAATCTCCCATGCCGTATGAAAGTGATATGTTTTTGTCTTCTTACTTGGTCCAGCTCCCCCACTCATTTAATACCCTTTCTTACGTTTAAGAGGGAAAAAAGCAAAGTCTAAAAATGGGCGATAACTTAGCTTGTCAGTTTTGCTGCACTTAGCGCAGTTGTTTGCTCATGTGTTTGACACCCAAGATTGCATCTGATTGGCTGAACTTCACATCAGTTAAGTGATGGGATTGATGATAAGCTTACGTCTGTTTTTTTTAATGCCATGTGATCTACCCACACTACATTTGCAATCGACTAGTAGGTCCCGTATTGAGCACCCCTGGTATAAACTAATTGTAGTGTCCTGAACCTGGGAACATGAGAGTATGTTCTAAAAGCAATGACTAGTGGGACTTGCCGAGATGGGAGGGAGAAGGAGGCAGGTCATTCAGCAGCTAAAACATGGAGTTTCTTTTGCTCGTCTGCCTCCAGGCCAGTCCCGGAGAAGACATCACCTTGCTACAGTGAAGGGGCAACAAAGAGGAGGAGGCTCTTCAAGGAGATAGATTGACACAGTGGCTGCAACACTGAGTTCAAGGCCGGGAACGATGGTGATGACGATGCAGAACCAGGCAGTGTTGCATTCTGCTCGACTATGAGTCAAATCCGGTTTGAGGGCACCAGATAGCAACGTCTTACATTGCATTTCCACCAAAACCCAACTCACCCACCATCAAGTCGATGCCAACTCACAGCAGCCCTACAGAACAGGGTGGCACTTCTCCTGTGGGTTTCAGAACTGTGAACTCTTTATGGGAGTATAAAGTACCATTTTTCTCCTGAGGAGTGGGT